GTCGAAGAATCAGAAGGGGACGCAGCGGAAACGACTTCTCCTACAGTATCGCGGAACATGCGGTTGAATGCGAAAAAATACGGATTGTGTGGCTCTAAATCTCCAAAAGCCGGCGCCTTAGCCGACGGCGGTAGCAAGCTCTGCTGAAGAGTCAACTTAAGTGCGTTCTTTACGTCTCCACTTTGGCGAAAGAATGGTGACTGTCGGGAATTCCTTCTAAACTTAAGCGCCTGCGCCTCTGCCATCTTGCGCTGCCTGATTTGCTCTTTTCCTACTTCATCGCCATCTCTCCCGTGTCGCCCGTTGGGTGCAAGATCGTGCTTCAGGGAGCTCTGTCCGTGGAGAACAAGCGCGTCGCGGTAGGTCGCATTCGCGACTGGCAGCCCCTCTCTCTGCTCCACGCTTGCCATCACGTAAAGATTTCTCAACAGTTCCACGCTCGTCAAGTGCGTGAAAGGCCAGTCGGCTAGGTCACACTGATACGCAACCGAAATCATCATACTTTTAGAGGAGGAACACCTTGACGCTGTCCTTCGTCTTGTTGGTATGTTTATCTCATAATTTTTAGTCTTCGTTTTCGAAAAACTAATACATAGGTCTAGCATATTTTCACTTTTCTGGTGCCCTTAATGAGAGAGAATCGTCTAAAGCACAACTTGTTTCCTGTCGAGGACGGCGCAGTGACAGTGAGTCTGTGCAAAAAAAATGCCTGAAAGTAGTTATGGCTGTCCAGGTTTCTGAATCATAAGACAAACGTGAAATTTTGTCCGTTATCGTCTTAACATTGAGATGCAAAAACTCCATCGCGTAGGTGTATTTTTCTTCCAGGATGCACGAAAGCGCGCTCATCAGATTGACGCCCATTTCACCTGGAGCGCACCTAAACGTGTGGAAGTAGTCGGTGTAGAAGATCTGGTCTCTCACCATGTTCATAAAATCGAAGTTCGCGCAGCCCTGCGTCTTCAAGTGCTGAAAGTGCCACGAGCGCTCCGCATCCGATAATTGTTTTCGCAGGCCAAACTTGCTGCGAAAGTCGAAGCCTTTCAGAATCTGCATGATGGCCATGAAGTAGTCGTATCCTTTGCCGACGCAAGAACAGCTATCGAACGGCGCAAAGGCAGCATTGTCTGCGACCATTTCCGAGCTCACTTTTCGAAAAAGTGAGGCCAGAATTAGAAGAATAAATTTACAGGACTTATTCTACATCTACGTACTGCTTACGATTATTTACAACAAGCACAAGCTCAATGTCGTTGGCAGATCAACACCATCAAGATCAACAATGTTTTTACCAAAACGCAATATAATTCACTTTCGATTTCGCCTGCGCAGCAGCGGTCATGAGTTATAGGATATATTATTCTCGAAGCGTAGAAATGGGCTCTCTTTGGCGATCCATGTAAAATTCGTCCGCGCAGACATGGCATGCATATTCGTGTACGGATAGGACCTCGCAAGTGAGTAACGGTTTGATTCAGGATCCTTCGCCCCCTCAGCTGCATCTTCTGGCTTTTCCACGGAGCTTTCTTTCTGTGCTTCTCGATGTTGTTGCCTCTTTCCGCCATCTAAGTTGTGTAATGTAGATGCGCTACCAAGTGCTGCAGCTTGAGTTGTGTGATAGGTGGAGTTGCTCTGCCTGGCGGTCATTTGCGTATCGGCTTCAGCGAATATTTCGAAGGTATCTTCGTGGACAACGTCAAATTCGAAGAAGGGAACGATGGTGGACAGAACTTCGAGTGCCTGAAGCATCATGTTTCGCAGTCCCTCTGCGCGCGTGAGAAGGGCCATGGGTGTCTGCTCCAGTGCCCAACCAAGGACGGGGCGCTCTTTTCGAAGTCGCTCTGTGTTCTTGGACAAAAGATCGGTGAGCAATGTAGTCGAGGTATCACGAAGAGAAAGAGTTGACGTTAGAGCACAATCTAGCAATATGTAAAGTAAAAGCAACAACACAAAATAGAAAAAATCATGAAAGTTCCTGCCATCTGTTTGATGCGGCATGTCATCTCTGTGAAAGGTTCGAGGCTAGGAGATATTAGACTTAGAGCGCTTAGACTGCCGTACCTGTGAGCGTGACTCTCGGCGGAGCACAGCAGAAATCACGCCAATGCGGCTGGTCCTGAAAACAATGCTCCAACGCATCTTCTTGTCCGTAGCAGCAGCGGGATACCGACCAACCGCTTTCCGCTTCCATGTATTGGTCGAAGCACTCCCAGCGGTGATCTTTCGGAATCTCATCTACGCTCGGCAGCTGTGCGGGGACCAACGAGCTGTAAAGGGTCACGCTGAACAGAAAGCTGCGAAGAGTATGCATAGATGGCAGCATTACGAACGCACACAGACTGCGGCGCACCGCTGAGGAGACGAGTGCTCTTTGCGTCATATTCATTCGGTCACGGTCAACAAAGAACAAGTCTCGACGAAAGTACACGACTCAGAAAAGCTTATCGTTCCTCGACTCCCCCTACACCTACTTTTTTCGACTTGCTTACTTGAAAGCATTGCCCTTGCCGTAGGAATACCTTGAGCAACCTCATAGTGGCGCTCCCATAGTCCCTCGTCATCCCTCTAAGGACTTGCGCCTCTCACTCTGGTTGGCCTTGTCAAGTCAGCAACAGCTGGAGTTCTTACCTTTTTCATCCGGGTTACTTCATAGTCTTCGCTACCGAGAGATTCCGAAGAGGAAAAATGCCTCCACCACCTTTGTTGACACTTGTTCCCGAACAAAGTGCTTCCACAAGAATCCGAATTGTATGTCCTTTAAAGTTTTTCATGGAGATCACCCGGAGTTTTTCTTGCGTCGTGGTATCTTGGTATTGCTTCACTGTCGTCTCCGTTTGTTATTATTCCTCGAGGAGAGTCGTCCCCCGTAACGATGTGCTCCAACATGAATTCTGCTACAGATGCATCTTGTGTCGCAGCCGTTACGAAGGCTGCGCTTCCTGCGGCGTGGCCTATTACGCTCAAGGGTGAAGCCAGTCTCGCCATGCCCGTGAGTGCGCCTGAAAAGCCACCGGCTACCAGCGAGTAGTAGGGCCACTGTAGCTCAGACCACTCGCGCTCCATCGTGCACAGGCTGAAAGACGTCACAAATGCCCAGAACCCGCAAAGAACTGAATGCCGCCCCACACGGGTCACGCTAAGCGCTGCAGTGCGGAGTCTCGACAACGAAGTGGCTGATGATGGAGTCGGCGCGAATGAGGCAGGAAAGCGTCTACTTACGGAGGTGGCGCCACCTCGTTTCGTTTGCTGGTCCGTTGTCACGTTGTTCATCATCGTTCTAGAGGTCGCGCGCTCTGTATCCTTTCCTTTCGCGGCGACATTTGACCACGCTGGTGACGAGGCAGCGTCTCTAAGTGGCGGGGCGTTTTCTAGCAGGAGATAAGCGCGGTTTCTGGGTCCACAAAATAGAGATGAGAAGACGCCTCCCCACACCATTCCCCGAAGGCTTGACTCAA